AGAGAACGTTTTTACTTTGTATGAGTCCATCTCGGATGAGCTTTAGCCCAGAGAAGTCGGCGGCGTTTCCAGATATTGTTGATACATGGTTTTGCTTTGTGTGATAGAGTCTTACTTTGTATTTGTAGACTCAGCAACAAACTGTGTTTACAGACAAGGGTTTTCCAAAATATTCCCAAGTCCATGTGGTTATATTTATCACAGAAGCATGTTGGTTCTTAATGCAATGCTGTCTGATGGATCAAAAGTCACTGACATTCAGTATTGGTTTTCGTCCTTTTGCTTTACACACAGAGATTTCTTGAAACAATGAACAATGTTATGAACTCTAGAAGGTGAAATCCCTACATTTCCTGTAAAGATACATTGAGAAACAAATTAAGAAACAATAATAAGGTAAAATATTCCATGTCTCCTATTTGTGTGGTTTTCAATTGAATGAAACAACTGTAAAAGACCTGTAAAAGTTTACAAATCACTGTTGTCTGTTTTAACTTGTGTTTTGACTACTGTCACAACTGTTTTGGACTTAGTCCCATACACTACATAAAGCAATTCAAATCTATAAAAATAAATAACTAAATAAGTAAACAAATAAATGAATACAGTAAAGAAAAAGGTATGGCAGCAGGGATGCTAGACAAAACCCATTAATGAACTCTTCTCAATAATGGTAAAAATCCGTAATATTACAGTCATTTCATTTCTTAGAAATACTGCCTTCTACAGTAATTCAACAGTTTCATCAATTCAACTAGTTAATAATTCAACTAGTTAATAAACCAAATGTCTGTGAAATGAAAGTGATAATGTTGTGAGTTTTCATTCTATTTCTGTAAATTAACAAAAGCAGTGTTAAATTACATTATATGTATGATTTATTCCTTTATATATGCACAGAACATTTTTTTTTAATTAGCTAGATTACGACATCAACAGAATACTATCAATTCACCCTGTAGCAGTTTAGCCCCGCTCATTCACACTGAAGTATAGCTCAGCTCTGAGCACTTTTTGGAATGAGGCTTAATACATGGCAGCCAATCAGAATATATATATATATATATATATATATATATATATATATATATATATATATATATATATATATATATATATATGTGTGTGTGTGTGTGTGTGTGTGTGTCTTATAAATGCAAAGCAACCAAAACAGCTTGTTTAATTCTAAAGGATAAAGAAAGATTGGAAAATGGTCATGTGAAAATTAATTATGACTGGTTTTGGTACATAAAACCACATAAATATTCCTCAATATGTCATGAGAAAAAATCTATAACATATATCCAAACATTGTTACTGATCTTCTTCATCTTATTATCTTGTGTTCGTATTAATAACTGCACTAGCAGACAACTATAATTCGGTCGAGTAATGAAACAGCCAGTGTTTCTCTCAAAGAAATAACTTAAATTAAGTTCAAGCATCTATAAAATGGTTGAACGGCACATACTAATCTTAGAACAATCTCATAATGAGAAATATTAGATATTGCCTATATTTACTTGCCAACACATTGTTTTCAGTGTAGGCGTCAAATAAACCTACTAATGTGGGCGAATGATTGACAGAGCACAATTAATCGTTCTGCCAACAGAGACCATCAAGAAAGAAGAAACATGTAGGTAACAAGGTGGGATTCAAAGTCGCAGTGATCCAGGAGCTGCTCAGTTAAAGCTGGAAGTTGTATTTAGTGCACGAGTAGACAAGAATGAAGCTGATACTCTCTCTGACATTGTAATGCTCTTAAACGTTTCTTAGATAGTGGCGTTCCATAAGAGAGTGGCACAACAATCGAAGTGTCGGCTCTATTATGAGGAGATCATGAGTTTGATCACTGGTCATGCGACTGCCATCTATGGCCGGGAGTCCAACATGCACAATTGACCTCACTCTCTATGGGTGGGTTGGATGGCCATCGCGTAGCATGATGCTAGCCAGCACAGATGTCTGTGAGGTGACATAACAGAACTGGCATCAAAGCTGTAGTGTTGCCAGTCTCCTGACAAGACACGGCATGAGTTTATGGCACTATAACTGCCTAATCTGACAAAGGAACCACTGTGAAAGACAAAATTATTGTGCAATCTGATCCCGGCATAATAGAACCACCACTGCTGAGCGTGTCTCATTCTGATTTCATCCAGTGAGCATTTGCCTTCTCTGATAATAGGCTTGTTCGGTTTAATGCGGCACTGTGCAGACCGAGCACCACCTGGCTCGGTACGGTGCATGCCAGTAAGTTTTTCTATCTGACTTGCGCCGACACTGGCAAGTCATGATGACATACGTGGCTGTAATCTCGCCCGAGCGAGGCGCCTGCAGTTTTCAGAGCCAGTCGGCACAGTCGCTCACCACCCGACTGCGCGAGCTGAGAGACAGCTTGACAGAGCTTAATTTTCACTGGCCTGAAGCTCAGCCGACAACCATGTGGACACAAACTGTGTTGAGCAGAGCACATAGCTTATTAAAATACGGAGCATTTGTGGTTATTATTTTCTAATGTAGAGTTTGGATTTATATTCTTAAAGAAGTGTTACATCTGATAGGTGAACGTCATGAGAGCAGCCAGCTGATATGGGAGGATGCTGGTAAACTACCTAGCTCGATGGCTTTCTTCTCAGTTCCTCCCCCATTTGTAACCGGCTACTCTTGCTGACCGCCAAGGCGAAACGCAGTTCATCTCGAATAAGCCCAAAGTTTCTGACATGATGCATTCGGTAGTGTTAAGTGCTCAGTAATTGCCCAAACTCTACACCTCCCCCTTGTGGTTAGAACATATGGAAGCCAACCCAGTGGATACATCTGACAGGGTGCAAATAGATTTTCAATAGAGGGTGCAAACACTGTTTCAACAGCAGTAGAATAGGCTAGAGGCGTTTTTGTATGGCAGCCTTTTGTTGAGAAATAAAAGCATGCTTGCTTTCCTCGTACATGCCTGTGCTTTCTTTGATGGAACCATTAGTCGGAATATGTCTTTTGAAGCTGTGGCGAATTTCAGACTTTGATTGATGACAGCACAATGTGTCTTGGTGGTTTGGGGAGACAGTGGGAGCTCTGCATGAGCATTTTAAGATTTCTCCAAAGTTAAAATGGGAAATACAAAATCCCACCGCTGTCATCATCACCGTAGCACCAGCGCACCGAGGTGTTCTGTAGAACTTTTACACGGAAGGTTTTAATCTGGCTGCTTCTGGTGTACTTATCCCAAAACGCCTTGGCACATTACTGCTAATTCACTTCTAGGGTGTGTTCTTTAGCCCCGGGGTACCTGGCGACAATCCTGTATCTACCACTTATTAAATTGTGAACTTTGGTTAGAGCGCTCCTTTGGCAGTCAGTCATCGAATTATCTTATTATATCATATATTACAACATCATCTCTCTACTCAGCATGCAGCATCCTGAAATTACTCGGAAAATGCACAACCTAGCAGTGGCCCTGACTCCAGCTGTGTATTAGTTCCACGCACACTGCCATGTGACTACATTAACATAACATTTACAGTATTTAGCACATGCTGTAATTCAGAGCAACTTAGAGCATATCTTTAAATTAGTGGAGATAGGTTAACATCTAAAGATACTCAACTAAGAGTTCTGGTACAAGATCACACGATACACAGAGTTTTGTGCGAGGCGCAAGATAAGTGTTCATTTAAATGCTGAAGACATCTTCAGTTGGCTTTTGAACACAGCGTGGGACTGAAAGCAGTGAAAGTTCACCATCTGGGCACCAGAATGCAGTCTTCATGTATATCACCTACATATCTTGAGCAGGGGTGGGGCTAAATGTTGTGGCCGAGGGCTAAGAGGACACAATTGTATCTGAATAAAATACATTGATTTCAAATTCAATTTTCCAACGTGTGTTTCGTGACATTATATTACATTTTGTTACCTTGTTACTGAAATTATTATATTATATATTATAAAAATTGGTCTGTTCTCTCATTGGGTGAAGGGGGATAGGGTACCTTTCTAGGCAAATCAAATGTCCTCATAGGCCTCACGGTCCATGCTTTCTCAGGCCTGGGATGGTGGGTAAAGCCTGATCAAAAGGGTCAATGGTATGGGATTTGCCCATTGCCATCAAGATGAAAGGGCTGGTCTACTGTTGGCTTTGTAGGCTTTTATTGTTGTATTTCAATGGATGTGACCACCATGTTAGAGTCACTGTCATGCTTAGAATGGTCTACTAACTAAATAATACCAACACAACGGTGGTCTTGTGGTCAGAAACTGTGTAGTGGACAGGGTAGTGGGCGGCTAATAAAGTGTGTATCAGACTACAGCCTGTAGTTGCATACCAATGTAGAGGAAATGTAAAGTACAGGGAGTTCATAAAGTGGCCAGTGAATAGAAGTACAAGGTAGGTGTTTCTAATAAAGTGGCCAGTGAGTGGAAGTATGAGGTAGGTGTTTCTAATAAAGTGGCCAGTAAGTGGAAGTATGAGGTGGGCGTTTCCTATAAAGTGGCCAGTTAGTGTGTACACATAGTTGTGTGTATGTTTTTATATACACAAACACACACACACACACACACACACACACACACACACACACACACACTCACACACACACACACACACACATATTTAGATTTATTTACATACATATATATATGTGTATATATATATATATATATATATATGTATATACACACACACATATCAGTCAACCATATATATATTTCATAAATGCTAAAACACTGTTTTGAGGTTTCCGAGGCAGTGGAATATATTTTATGTTTCTGCTGTTTTTGCCTCCATCAGTCTGCCTTTCTCCCTGAGGCAAGAGACCTTTGTCAGCCTCATAATAGTAACCTGCCGGGAATGTGCGCCCTCTAACAAAAGTTCCTACCCTTTGCTCCTTTTTTGGTTACCTAGTAACAGACAGCTCGGACCAGCACGCAGATGTTGACCTCTCTTTCTCTTTCTCTCTACATTTCTCTGTCTCTCCCTCTCTCCGGTTCCCATACAGTGCCCTGAGGGCTTGCGGCCCATGAAGGATGGCTCAGGTTGCTATGACTACTCTCTGGGCACGGACTGCACGGACGGTTTTAACGGCGGTTGTGAACAGCTCTGCCTCCAGCAGTTGGTGCCCCTGCCGGATGATCCGACGTCCAGCAACGTGCTCATGTTCTGCGGGTGAGAGGGCGAACACAATAGCAGGCACAAATACATACAAGCATGTGTGCAAAAACAAACAGATGTAATTGCACCTACTTATGTGACTGTTCAAAAGTTTGGAGTCACTTGTGGTTAATAAATTTTTATTCAATAATAATTTACACTGTGCTGTGAAAAAAAAAACCCAGTGTGGAAGAAAAAAAAAAAACAATTCTGATTCTTGGCTGATTCTGGGCATCTCAGCTCATCATTCTGGACATTGCTAACAATGTTTTACAGCTTCCTACAAATTATTTGAAACGTGATGTTTTTGAGTTCTAGCATTGTATTACAAATATTTTATACATGTATCTGCAAAATCAATGGTTCCAAATTTCCAAATAGTAATTCCAACCTACGGAGTACTGTCATTTCAAACTTTTAATTGATAATTCTAAACTTTTCAATAATAATTCAAAACTGAATAGTAACCTCAAAGGTTTTAAACAGTAAATTCCAACATTTCAAATATAATTCCAAAATTTTAAATGGAAAGTCCCAACTTTTAAATGGTAATTCCAAAATTTTGAATGATAATTCCAAACGTTTTAATGGTAATTTCAAACTACGGAATGGTAATTGTGAACTTTTAAAGTGAAATCCCAAAGGTTTTGAACACCAGTTCCAAAACTTTGAACGGTAACTCCAAATTTCTAAATGATAATCTCAAATTTTTGAATCATAATTCCAAAATTATTAATGGTTATTTCAAACATTTGAATGGTAATTGCAAACTTCTGAATGGTAATTTTAAATGTTGAAATGTAATTCCAAACTTTTGAATGGAAATCCCAAAGGGGTTGAACAGTAATTCCAAACTTTTGAAGGGTTGTTCCAAACATTTAAATGGTAAATCTAAACGTCTGAATGGTTTGAATCATCATTCCAAACTTCCAAACTTCTGAATGATAATTCCATGTTTTAAATGGTCTATTTAAATGATTAAATTCTAGTTAATTGCTTTGGCTCCTTCACTTTAACACAGACATCATACAAAATGCAATCCTGTTCAAGCCCTCCAGACTGTCTAAGCTTTTTATGTCCTTATATAATGAAAATATAAAGCTAGCATGGCTGTGTGTTTGTTATTACATCCTGAGGAATGAGGAATGAACATTTACCTCATCTGAATTCTGCAGTGTTCTCAGTAAGCCAATGCCATATATTTTCATTCTGTAGCTACTCAGTTTCTCCACAATTGCTGCTTGCAGCTACATTGGAAATTGCGTCTGATCAGTAGTCCCACACTGCGCCGGTTGTGTGTTCAGTGTGCCAGGACGTCTCTGCTCACTCTGGCATCTGTCTCCTCTCCATGTGCGTATCTGTGAGCGCCCAGGTGTGTGCAGGAGTACAAGCTGGCAGCAGATGGCCGCTCCTGCCTCCTCCTGGCTGATAACTGCGAAGGGCCCAAGTGCCCACGCCAGGACACGCGCTTCAACGACACGCTCTTCAGCGAAATGCTGCACGGCTACAACAACAAGACCCAACAGGTCAACTTGGGACAAGTCTTCCAGATGACCTTCCGGTGAGTTCCGTTTGATCCCTTTCTGAAGTGACCTTTTTCTATGCTCTGCTCACAAATGTGTCAAAGTAGATTGAGCAAGCTTTCGCAAACACTAGCAAACTGACTGTGTCCCATGTGCCCTCGCGATTTTGTTGATATGTAGTGGAATCTATACTGCCAGTTACCCGTGCAATGTTTCCTGTTTCACTGGCTGCCATACATGCCCAAAGCATAATAGATCCACCCCTTGCTTTATAGTTGGCACGATGTTCCTTTCATCAAATGCTGGTAATTTTAAAATGCCTTTTGCTCTTTACGTTGTGTGTAAATATCATGAGAAATGGTCCAAAATTACTTGGAAATAAGTTTGATTACATTAACTTAAAAGTAAACTATATTTTTCCTTCTTCTGTAAAGTTATCTTTTTGGAGATACAAGGTTTTGTTCCAACAGCAGCAATATATTGACCTGTATGAGCATATACATTTTTAAAACAACATACATAGGATATCGCTGCTGTCGGGACAAAAACTTGTATCTCCATTTTTGTCGTTTTTTCAGTTTTTGAAAATGCCTGTTGCCCTTTACATTGTGTGTAAATGTCATGATGATCGGACTAAAAGAAATGGCTGAAAATGTGGAGATATGTACACATATCTTCCATATGTAAAATATAATAGCACACTTTTTTGTCAAAATACCTCAATTTACAGTGCAGTGTTTTTAAATAATTTAGGCCACACTATTAGAATTGGGTGAAGTTTCTTTTGTTATATAATCAGTGCTTTTAGGAGTAAACATCTGATTTATAGGCTAAGCAGAGTTAATTAGCTTTAGCTATTTCAATGTTGCTAGGCTAGCTAAGGCTACCTAAAGCTTTGTCTGTTTCTCCTGTCATTATCACCAAACAGCTTTTATTTTTAGGTTTTGCCATTATGTTAGTATATTTTTGGAAAAATGTTGTTAGCAGACCTGCTGGTGTGAGTTTAGCCATTCTACAGTAGCCGGGTTGTGGCGTGGCTAAAGTGCTGCTGACTTAGCTAGAGAGCAATGTTAAAACAACTGTAGCCATTGAACCTGTAAACTAGCATTTAAGTCAGATGTTTATACTGGAAAACCTTGGTTTGAAATCTTGGATCTAACAAAAAATGACATCCAGTCTCAACTTTGTATCTTTGTAAAAAAGGGAATGCATTTGTGGGCAGGGCATGAATAGGTCAACTGCTGGTCTTTTCCTGTCTTTTGAATGTTTTCATGTGCACGGGTGACGTTGAAGCTGCCTTCCGAGTACTGGTACCGCCAAAATGCTGGATTCAAAGTGTTGGATTGAATCTGGTTGTGTTGTGAGAAGTGGAGAACCAATGCCTGTCCATTAGCTCGTAAGTGTTGTGGGTCGGAGTTAATCCCAGCGCCGCACTGCCGCTGTCAGGCTTCTGAAAGCCGCTCCTGCTGCTCTGTTAATAAAGACAAATGTCCCCTGTGGGCAGAGGCCTCCACAATCACACATGACAAGGCATTGTGGCTGTGTGAAGCTCAGATCCTACACTAGGACTAAATCACTCTGTCAGGCTGTCCTTCTCCGAGGCTGCATGTTGTGACAGTTATAAGTTGGGCGTTAGCATGGATGGCTAGAGGTTTTGCTAAGATTAGCTATGGAGATTGTGCTATTCTGAGGTACAAAAGAAAGCTGCGGATCAAAGACGAGTTGAAGAGCGTTTCAGGTTCCATCATGAAAGGAAAATGAAATGTCACTCACTCGCGACTCTGAGGCTTAGATGAGCACAACCGCTCTGTGGCTGTTAGTCAGTGATGCTAGCTTTGACTCGTCGTTGCTAGCTTTGATTTCCAGGCAACAGTAGGTTTGCGTAGGGGATAACAAGGCTGGTTGACATGGTGTTAGCATCCAGGTCAGCAGGGGAAGCTCTTATGAAGACACAAAGAGGGCTGTCCTCTTGACCAACAACTTGACCATCCATTTTGTTCAGAGATCTGAATGTTACGGTCTGTTAAGGTGGGACTGCTTTTTGATTTTTAAGTTTTTACATTTTGATTTCTGATTTGAAAGCCAAGGTTAAAGAAGGCTAGCTAGCTAACATGCAGAAAATACAGAGTTGTGTCTAAAAGATGGTTCTTCAAGGGTTCTTTAGTAAAGGCAACGGTTCTAATTGGAACCATGAATTCTACATAGAACAATTTCATGCTCAAATGGTTCTTTCTATGAGAAAAGATACAGCAAAATAATTTCTTAAGAAGCCAACTTGTCTAAAACAACAAAACTTTCCGACACACCTAAAAAGAAAGTTCTTCAAGGATTCTTTAGTGAAGGCAACAGTTCTGTTTAGAACTATGAGTTATATATAGAAAGAAGAACCATTTCACTATGCAAAGAAACATCTAAGCATGAAATGGTTCTTCCAACTGAGGGAGAATGTGTTGTATATGGTGCTGTAGAATTTTATTGAAAATGGGTCTATATAGAACCACATATGTATATTGGTACAAGCTTGACATCATAACAATAGCAGAACTGTTTTGGTGCTATATAGAACCATATTCACATTCTGAAGAACATTGAACTGATTTAAAAATAATTGTATTTGGTTGCTATTAACACACACACACACACGTTATATATATATATATATATATATATATATATATATATATATATATATATAATGCTGTTCTATTTTCTTGCTTCATTCATTGAAAACATTGAAAAGCCTTTTAACGTTGTGCCAACCACCTCATAACACATGCCAACCAACCCGGTGTTAAGGCTGGTTGGCACAAGTGTGTGACATGAATTTAGTGATGCACTCACAAATTCCAGGAAATATCTTCTGTCTGCTTTTTAGCTAAGCTATTCAGCTTTCATTTGCTGCTAGCTGGATTATGCTAATGCATGCTGTGTGTGGCTCTTTCTTACTGCCTATAATATATAGGACTCAAAAGCAAATGATAAACTCATCTCATATTGCCAGAATACCGTATAACCTGCGTTGGCTTGCCGAACAATGTTTCCGTTGCTATAATAATGCTTAGAAGGTCATGTCTGAAATTTAGCATGTGCTAAACAGGGCATGCGACTGTTTTTGGAAACTATTTCATGGCCGTTTAAATTAGAATAGATTCTACATCACTCGGTTCCAGTGTGGTCATAGTGGTTCTAGAACATTTCAGGGAAATCTTCAATTTCAGAGCTTTGTTTAATGCTAGTTTGGGCTAGTAATGATGCTAGCTAGATGCACTACTTTATCTCAGAGCACTGACTGTTCTTTTTTGCCTGTTTTGGCCTGTTTATTGCCTATTCAAGTCTATCTGGATTGTTGAAACTGAATAAATTGTTGCTTTTTAAATATTATTATAGGCAGGATGGTTATTATCGCCCAAAAAGGATAATGACCGATTCATTAATATACATAGACATGGACTAAATCAACAACAAGCTAATAGCACTAGTCAACAAAGTTAATCACAGAACAGTGTGGACCAAATGAGTGGGCATGAACATTTGACCAAATGTTTTCATCCAAATGTAGTTAGCATTTGCTAAATTGGTACTTTTCTCCCATGCTGAATGGACCGCATGAAGCTGAGGGAAAATAAAGTACTTTATTCTTTGCAAGAACACAATTTTCTCAGCAGGCTGGATGGATAGTGGGAGAGGATTAAGTTATTTAAAATGCTTCGACTGCAAAGCTTGTATCTTCTATAGAATGATGGGTTTCTGAAGACAAGGCATAAGTGCTCAAACTGAGCATTACTGCCAGAGCCAAGAGTATTTAAAAACGCTGTCTTTAGACTAACCATCTCCTTCTGTTTGAAAAGAGCATGAATATGGAGGAAGTAAAAAAAGAAGAAATTGACTAGGTTTGTAAGTAAAGCAGTGAGTCATACATATTTTGTATGCTTTCAATGTTTTCGCAGGATTGATGGCTCCTTTTGAAGGCAGAGTAATAGAGAAGTAATTGCTCTCACTCAAACAGTAGTACATTTACAGTGACCTCCAGAGTTCTCAGTGAAAATGAAATGAATTCTCATACAGGGTGAAGACCACGTTCATTTATTTCATTTCCAGCAGCTTCTTTGGTTGATGTGTCTGTCTCCTTTTCTCAGTGAGTGTGTTTACATGCACTCAATAATCCAATCATAATCAGATTTCTACACTTTTCTGATTACTCAAATGGTCATGTAAACACCATACTCTTACACCGTAATCAGATTTCGCAGCGCATGTGAACTCTTACTCTGATTTCTTTCGGGTTTCTCAGTCACTGCATTTGCAAGAACAAACGGCCATACCAGAATTAAGCAAGCAGCATTGCTGCAAGATGGGAGCAAAAGACTTTGAGTGGCACTGAAAGGAAACACGAAATAAAGGATTTAAATATTGTTCATCTTATAGATGAGGTATGTTCATATTTTCAAGTAATGTTCAAGTTTTATGTTATGTTTATGTCACGTCTTCTTCTGTGAGTTTATTGGCTGGTTGCAAAGCAGAAACCTGATTACTGTCTGACTCATGTAGACCCAGAGTTTCCCCATTATCGGACTACTCAAGTGCATGTAAACGAGCTGATCGGATTATTGACAAAATCTGATTTTCTGCAGTTATCAGATTATAAAGTGCATGTAAACACACTCACTAAGGCTTCTTAACAGCTACACATCCTTTTGGATCCATAGCACTGAGTTGTCTTCTCACAGTGGAAGGATGGACAGAAACACCTGTGGATGTTTTCAGATCTGAAGCAGCTTGATTTTCTCCTCTCGCTCAGAGATGAAAGTGCTGTTTATCTGATGGGGACAGTTTTAGTGTCTACCAGGTCTTCCAGGTGGTTGTTAGGAATCCCATTTTTTGTGTATCTTTCAATCATTTTTTGAAATCTAGTTTTGTAAGCTGCTGTTTTTTCCACTTATTTTTCTTTGACTTTCTTCTTGTGCAAGGGGATAATCTCATATCTAATCTCATTAAAAATATCTCCTGAAAGATGAGTAACTTGTACATAATGGCAGTT